TGAACCAGTTTTCTCTTCTCCCACAACCTTATTATGGTGAGCTATGGAGACATGAGCAAGGCTAGTTTCCACATCTCTGTGTGGCTTTTGTTCAAAAGCATTAGTTTGGGTTGTTGAGATGACTCAGCTGATAAAGGTACCTGCAATCAAACCTTATGACCCAAGTTTGAGGCTTAGTGCACACACATTAAATAAGTTAATAAATATGCGATTTTTTTTAGGGTTGGTTTGAATTTGTGGTAAGTCTTAGCAATGAAAATCACTTATGAGTCAGGCTTGATGGCACACGCCTTTAATCTCAGTACTTGAGTAGCAGAGACAAGTGGATCTCTGTGAGTTCAAGGCCAACCTGGTCTACATAATGAGTTTTAGGACAGCCAGTTTTAGGACCCTATCTCAAAAAGAAAAAGAGAAAGAAAATTAGTTACGTTCTCACACTGTCTCCATTTTCCTCATCTTTTCGTAAAATGATGCTTGCACTATACCAAATAGCGTATTGTTCATAGAAGTCATTTGGATAAATTAGAGTCTCTGTGATTTTAATGAAAGGAGAGCTTTGATAATATCTCTTCCCCTGAGAGACTGGTAGGGTTGTACATAATACCAGTGCTTCGGCAATGGACGGTCCTTAATTAGAGTCCTGTCATCTGGGCCCGCTATTCCGTCTCTATAGGTGTTTTCAGTTTGTAAAAGGCAAGATTGTTGAATCATGGAAGACTGGGCATGAGGCAACTGACACAAAACAGCGCCACTAGTAAAGGGAAACCATCATTGTAGTTATCAATTATTAAATCATGATGCAGAGTTGTGAGGTTCAGAGTACCAAGGCTAATTGTCTAAGACAGGTAACTAATCACTTTGAATTCTAGGAAGGGCCTGTATAGAAATGAGCTGCCTCAAGACACCATGCACCCTGCTCTTCTCTACTCAACAGAAGCCAATTCTGCAAAAACTGTCCTCATACACACCACACCCTGAGGAAAGTGGGACATGTGTCTTTCTTCTCTTTAGACACCCTGCCCGAATCTGCATCTTTTGTGGCCGTAGGAATTCGGTCACTGCTAGGACACCAGGACTTTCCTTTCCTTTTGAAGGCTCTGAGATGGTTGTAATTCCAGGAATCGTTTCTAATACTTTTAGCAGTCAATTTTTATTTTTCATTTTTGACATTGGGTCTCCTGCATCCTGGGCTGGCCTTCAACTGGCCACGTAGCCAAGGATGACCTCAAACTTCTGACCACCGTATTTCCACCTCTCAAGTGGTAGGATTACAGGTGTGTGCTACTACATCAACTCTATGCAGTGCTGAGAACCAAATCCATGCTAGGCAAGCATTCTACCAACTGAACTACATCTTCAGCCATATATATGTCTTGGTGTATTTATACTGCTGTGGCTCAAACCCAGGACCTTGCACATGTAAGGCAAATATTGTACCACATCCCAGTCCTGCACTACATTTTTCTTTAGATTTATTTCTTTAATTTTGTGTGTCTGAGTGTATTGCTCGCATGTATGTGCACCACACACATGTCTGGAATCCACAGAGGTCAGAAGAAGGCACGAGATCCCCTGGAACCAGGACTACTGTGCACGATTGTGAGCCAAAGTTTTGGGAATGGAACCTCATTCCTCCGCAAGAACAACCAGTGTTCTTAACCTCCATCTCCCCAGTACTCCCTCCACCCCCATTTTTGTTTTAAACTAGATTTTCTTTCAAGCTTGTTTGTTATGAGACAAGGTCTCACTATATATCCCTGGCTGGCCCAGAACTTGCTATGGGACTCAGACTGGCCTCGAATTAACAGAGATCCACTTGTCTTTTCTTCACAAGAGCTGGGATTAAAGGCATACACCACCATGCCCGACTGCTTTTTTTTTTTTTTTTTTTTTTTTTTTTTTTGGTTTTTTTGAGACAGGGTTTCTCTGTGTAGCTTTGCGCCTTTCCTGGAACTCACTTGGTAGCCCAGGCTGGCCTCGAACTCACAGAGATCCACCTGGCTCTGCCTCCCGAGTGCTGGGATTAAAGGCGTGTGCCACCACCGCCCGGCCCGACTGCTTTTTAAATAATTATTTAAAAATTTTGTCGGGAGGCAGAGGCAGAGGCAGAGGCAGGCGGATCTTTGTGAGTTCGAGGCCAGCCTGGTCTACAGAGCGAGATCCAGGAGAGGCGTGAAGCTACACAGAGAAACCCTGTCTCAAAATACCCCCCCCCAAAAAATTTGTGTGTGCATGTGTGCATAGAGGTCAGAGGACAATTTGTCAGAGTTGGTTCTCTCTACCGTGTGAGTTTCAGGAACTACACTCAGGTCCTCAGTCTTGGTGACAAGCACTTCCCCCTGCTGATCCATCTTGCCAGTTCACATTATTTTTAATCCTAGTGTGCAATAATTCCTTACCACGTGGAGGTTCTGATCTCTTTGCCTGGGAATCACTAGTGTAAGTCAATTATCAATCTCATTCAACATAAATGCCCTTACTTTGTCCCATGTATTGTTCTAAGTACCTTAGACACATCATCTCGTATCAGCCACATCCCCCCACTCTCATTTTAAATGTTATCTCCTCAAAGAAGCCTTCCTTTATCCAAGTTGACCTGGTCTCCACCTTTCTATTATTCTCTATCATTTCATCCTGTTTATTTCCTTTGGAATACTGATCACTATAAGCAATTAGTTACCGATTTCACTACTTGGTTGCTGCTGTCCCTCCAGCCAGACTCAGCTCTGAGAGCAGGGACGTTGTTGATTTGGCTTTTCTCAGTATACCCAGGAGCAAGGGCCGTGGCTTGTCGTGTGGCACAAAAGCATGGTAAATCGATTATTTATTGAATAAGTACGTAAACATAGCAGTATGAAGTATGCCCTATTATTTTCTCCACTACTCTGATGAGGAAACTGGGGACTAGAAAGTAAAACGAACTCATAGTCATTTATAAAACTGGTTGAAAAATCCTGCTCTCCTTGACCTCAGAGTTCAAGCTATTTATTTCTCTGGCCCCAGAAACAAAAGATTGAACCGCTGCTGCTGTGTGTCCTCTGAAGTCTCTTTGTCTCTCTGGAACTCTCCTTTTCGTTGAGAAATGAGAAATGAGAAATGGAGTTAGCCATCCTCTTTATAGCAATAGTTTGTGACTTATGGTATCTATGACTGAAGGAAGTCAATGAAGGGACTGTGAAGACTGGCTTGAGGCCTTTAAGAGTATTGATCTTGGGGCTGGGGAGATGGTTCAGCAGTTAAGAGAATGTACTGCTTTTGCAGAGACCCCAGGTTAAAATCTCAGTATCATATCAGGGATAAGCCTCTTCAAGCACCTCCGTTCAGGAGCATGTTACCCCCCCTCCATGCATGTAATTATAAAAATAAATTTAAAAAAAGAATACTGGGCCCAGAGGTGGTGGCGCACACCTTTAATCCCAGCACTTAGGAGGCAGAGGCAAATGGATCTTTGCGAGTTTGAGGTCAGTCTGGTCTACAGAGTGAGTTCTGGGACAGCCAGGGCTACACAGAGAAAACCCTGTCTCAGAAAACAAAACAAAAAAGAATACTGATCTTCAGTCCCCTCTTTTCCTCTTTCCTTAACTGAAGATTTGCTGATTGTGTTTTATGTGTTGGCTGTAATAGGGATCCAAAGTCTCGTAGAGCAGAGACCTTGGCCTTACAGCTGCTAGAAGTCCTGTGGAGTCAATACTGTAACAGTGAGCTTTGCAAGAAACACATACAACATGGGAGGATGGGATTAATTCCATCAGGTGTGTATGTGTTGATCAGAGTGGGGATGAATATGCATTTGTGTGCAGAGTGGGGAGGGGGGGGGAGGGTATGCCGTTGACCCGAGCCTTAAGGAAAGAATAGTTCTCCAGATGGGCAAGCTAGAGGTGAGGCTTTCTGGACACTCAGAAAGAGCAAGAACAGCCCAGACTGTCTTAAGGCAAAGGGTCAACTACCAGGCTAGTGACGCAGAAGGAGCCCCTGAAAAGTTTGGCTTCTACTCTTTTTGGCTTCTACTCTTGGGTATGGCTACATCCTTTCCCTTGATTTTTAGAAAGCTCACTGGCTGTGGTCTAACCGGAAGTGTGTAATGAGGCAAAAGGTGTGAGTACCGTTAGGAAGCTTGGCCGTGTTCAGACGATTGACGATGAGGACTGGGGCCTAAGGTGTTTGTAGCATTTGTAGTTTGGAGAGGAAGGAGATGGATTAGAGGTTTTTAAAGGTAGAGCTACAGGGTTTGGTGATTGAACAGTCGATGGAGACTAGGGACTTATCAGAATGGGTTGGTTCCCAAGTATGAAGTGTTACCATTTAGAAACAGAGGGAATTTGGAGTCAGGTGGGAGAGATACTGCTGTTGGTTTTGGATATTCAGTTTGAAGTGTCACTTAAGGGAGCCAAGAGCCCAGTACCCCCCTTCTTCCCGACCCCAAGAGCTGTCCTAGCCCAAGTCAGTCATTCTTGGGCTAATTTCCACCGGCAATCAAATTCTCCGAGGGCTTCACTAGCATTTCTGAGCTTAACATCCATCAAGGATAACAGCAGCCTATGGAAGACTTCCTGGGCACCCACTGATAAAAGCGTGGATTGCGGAATACATGTTTGTATTCGACACTGACTTTTGCAAGCACCAGATTACAAAAAACCATTTCCATGGAGCCTTCTCTGGCCCTGGCAGGCTCTGGTTCTAAGCTGGCTCCCAAGAGCGCCCCCCACCCCCCACTTGGGGAGCTGATTTTTAAAAAGGAAATGGGGTTGTATAACGTGCAGCCTGGTTCCCCTTGACAACTAGAGAACACCCTAAGTTTGGGCGGCTGGATCCACTTCCAGTCATTACCTCTGGAGACAAGACTCCTTGTAACCCTGATCCTTTAAAAATGATGGGACTGGAATCATCTATCTCAGCTCGAATATCCAGCGGTCACCAGGCGGTGGCAGGGTCGAGCAGGTGGACTCTTGGGGCGGGGGTGGGGTGGGGGGAGGCTGTTTCCAGGGTCCTCTTAGGGAAGAAGACCGCCCTGGAGGCAAGAAGCAGCCGCTCCATCCCGGCCCTGGCTACCTCCTTGATACAGCCTAGGGCTGAAGGCAGGGGCACGCCCTGTGTCCTACACCCCTGTTCCTGGGATGTTATCAGTAGCCTCTTCGTTTCTCCACCCTCTCCTCACGGCGCTAAACCCCACTGTCATGCCTATAAATCCCAAGAGCAAAGGGTGGCACGATTCCCCCCGCGCCCCTGCGGGCTGAAGGCGGGCACTAAAGCAGTGCAGTTCCAAGCTTCCCCTGCAGAAGCCACGCTCCTGACTTGGTCCGGTGATAGAGGGGGCGCGAGAGAGCAAGTGGGCGGGCGTCCCATCCTCCGCATCCTCCTCCAAGTCCTGGCGCGCAGGGAGGGAGCGCTGCGCTGCGCCGGGCTGCGCATCGCGGCCCACTTGCCGCCTGTCCCCTGCCCTGGCTGGGCCACCTCCCCGGGCTGCCGGTGGAGGACTTCGAGGCGCTAACGTTACGCTGTTTCCGGTTTTCCAGAGGGCTCTGTTTCCCCTCCCAAGGCGGCGGCGGCTGAGCGGCGGAGCCCCCCAAATGGCCTGGCCAGATGCGGCAGGTTTGCTGCTCAGCGCTGCCGCCGCCACTGGAGAAGGCTCGGTGCAGCAGCTACAGCTACAGCTACAGCGACAGCAGCAGCAGCAGCAGCAGAAGCAGCAGCAGCAGCAACAGCAGCAACAGCAGCAGCAGCAGCAGCGAGAGCGGCGGCAGCAACAGCAACAGCGGCAGCAGCAGCAGCATCTCCCGTCCCGCTGCGCCCCCAGAGCCGCGGCCGCAGCCACCGCCGCAGCCCCGCAGCCCCGCAACCCCGAGAGCCGCCGCCCGCTCGCGAGCCGCAGCCGCCGGCGGCATGAGGCGCGACCCGGCCCCCGGCTTCTCGATGCTGCTCTTCGGTGTGTCGCTCGCCTGCTACTCGCCCAGCCTCAAGTCGGTGCAGGACCAGGCGTACAAGGCACCCGTGGTGGTGGAGGGCAAGGTACAGGGACTGGCCCCGGCAGGCGGCTCCAGCTCTAACAGCACCCGCGAGCCGCCCGCCTCGGGTCGGGTGGCGCTGGTGAAGGTGCTGGACAAGTGGCCGCTCCGGAGCGGGGGGCTGCAGCGCGAGCAGGTGATCAGCGTGGGCTCCTGTGTGCCGCTCGAAAGGAACCAGCGCTACATCTTTTTCCTGGAACCCACTGAGCAGCCCTTAGTTTTTAAGACGGCCTTTGCCCCGGTCGACCCTAACGGCAAAAACATCAAGAAAGAGGTGGGCAAGATCCTGTGCACGGACTGCGGTGAGTCGCCCCCTCCTTCTGCTGGAGAAAGGGGGGGGGGAGGAGGGAGGTGGTGGAGGATGGGGGTGGGGCGGAGAGGTGCCGCAGGTGCCCAGGCCTGGCAGCGCTCGGCCGCCGGGGGGTGGGGCCGCCCCTGGACAGGGCGCCGGTCGCGGGTGGGTGAGGGTGTGGGCTTGGGGAGGAGGAGAAATCAGGCTCAAAGTGTGCGCTAGGGGCGAGAGCTGGTGGGGAGGCGCTGGCCTGTGCCAACAGGGATCTGCGGCTGATGTATGGCATGTGGGGCTGGAAAGCTGCCATCATAGCCCAGTAGCGGAAGGGAAAACGGTGAGGTCCGGGCGGCGCTGGCCTGAGGCTCAGTGAGTCAGGAGTGACCCTCAGAGGCCTCGCCCGCTCCGCTCCCGGGGGCCTGCCTTGGCCAGGCTGGCAGGGTCTACAGGAGCAGCTGGGCAGACTCCCAGGCTGTGAAGGCCTCCGCTTACAAGTTCTCCTAGGGAATGATCGCCCCCGCCCCCTCCTTCCTCTCCCGGCTCGTTGCTCTGCTCATCCACACCGCTGGCGCAGGCAGAGTTGGACTTTTTCTGCTACTGTTTTCCGTTCTCCGTGTGGCTCTGGGCTCCAACCCCCCCTCCCCTCCGTCGTGCTTCGCCTGTCTTTGCTAAGAGAGTAGCCCAGCCTTCCCTTCTTAACCCCCAGAACCAGCGAGCAGACGCTCTTTCAGCCGTTTGTGAAGTACCTCACCTGGTCTTGGTGGTGGTGGTGGGAGAGTAACTTGCTTTTGCTGAATGTTTGAAGTTCAGCTCTAACATCTTCCTGGCGGGATGTATTGACCGCATCTATCTTCACAATACTGAGGGCTGTGCAGGAATGCTGGTGATTATAAACGAAACGCAAGCCTGCACATCTGTGCGGGCCCCAGGGTGAAGGGCTCCCATTCGGAAGTCAAAGAAATGATACTTTAGCAGCTTTTTCTTGTTGTCTCCAAGTCCCACTGATTTCTCAATAAGATACTTTTTTTAAAAAGGCTGAATCTGCGATGTTTAGCGTAATTCAGGACTGTTGGATCCCTGAATTGTGATCAATCTCCTGAACTCTCATAGAAGTGGATGTTCAGTCAGTTTATTGACTGAACCTGGGTAGTGTAGACAGGTTTGAGTAGCAAAAAAAAAAAAAAAAAAAAAAAAAAAAAGAGTAACAACTAGTTGGAAAATCTGCTGTCATCTTTCTAGAGCAATCAATGCCTTTGACTTTTGGAAGCTTCCCTCCCCTGCTCCTCTAAGAGACAAATTTTAGGCAGTTAGTTGTGGGAGTGTATCTAAGCACCGTGCAAAACCCTGATCACTTTAATGAGAAGAATCTTGAAAGTGTTTTACCATGGAGAGGAAAAACTGGGGAATGAGGGCAGTTTACAGTTCGGTTATTATTCTAAGCAATATTATTGCCTGCTTTTTAATTTGGGTTTTATGCTCTGAAAAGTTTTATGATGACAAGTTGAGGCCAGCTAAGAATTTCTCTCTCTTTCTCTTTTTTAATTCTATTAAGTATTTTATCTGAGATCCCTTGGGGGAATTGTGGAACTAACTGTATTGTGCAGTGGGAAGTAGATAGTAAAAACATGCATTGAACCTTGTCCAAGGACAGCTTTTGTTTGGGTTCTTGGTGAATTGCTCCTGAATATGCACAGTGTATGTGTGCACACGATCCCTCCTCAGGGTCACTGAGGACTGATAGCTATTGTCAACCCCTATCACAACAGGCACTCCTGCCCTTTGTCCCCATAGTGTCTCCGTCCTCGCACCTTGGTTGTTTGAGTGAGCATGTCACAGTTTCAACAGTTTCATGCAGAGATCATGAGAGATTTGAGGTCATGAATATACTCTGCTTTTAGACTTTGGGCATCTCGTATTATTTATGTGTAGTATAGTTCTTGCCGAGATAAATTTAGGACTGCAATCACTTGTAAAGGGAAGGCCCTCACACATCATAAATTATCGAGGAGCAGGAATGAGTATGGCAGCAAATATTTTAGAATTAAAAAAAAGTGCCTTGGATGATAGTGTACAGATAGGCATCAGAGAAGCTTTACATAAGAGGATTAGAAACTAAAGGGCATTTTTGTGAGAGGAGACTTAGGGAATTGGAGATAATATGATAGAAGAATATAAACTATGTTTTCTTATTTTCTACTATGCAGTTAAAGAAAACATGTGCTGTAATGGCATATTAAATGAGGAAACAAAATCACCCTAACTAACCACAACACCTTCCTTGTGCTCAGCAGGAAATAGCTAACACATTCATTTTCTGTTTTCTATTCTAAAGAAAGCCCTGTGGGCCACAGGGTCATTGGGAACATTCTCTCCTTGGAGCAGATTTGCCCATTGCAAAACAGGGAAGCTGGCACTTGGAAACTGTCATTGTAGCCGTTATATTGAGCAGCTAGGGGTGAATTGTTACTTTGTTCAGGCAGTTTCTGCTCTGAGCTGTCTGGGCTCCAGAGGTGTGGTTCCTGGAGAGGTCTTCTAGAAACTATGTTTGGGGAGGGGACTTAGGGGCGATGCGCCATATGGAAGGATATATTGTGCTTAAAAGCACATTCCTCAGTCACATCAACCCAAGGATCATCCTGGATCCCTCCTAGAAGGTCCTCATAATGGCTAGTTGCAACTGTGAAGTGTGGTCTGAGAGTCTGGGATCTAAGGTAGAGTGGTAGCTAGGGGGTCTGTCTGGAAGAGCCATGCCTAACCAAAGGGGCGTCTTTTGTAGATCCGATGTATAGCATTAATCAAAAACGACTACCTCTAGTGGTAAAGAGTAAAATCTTTGCATTTCTAAGAAATTTGCATATATGGAGATGTTTTCTGAGCCTTCTGTGGAAAGGAGAGGTGGAGCTACAGAGGCCTTATTAGGGCCGGTGTAACTCTGCCACGCTGCAAGCTGGTCCCATTCTTGGCACAGTGCTCTGCTGTAAGGGGTGCTCACACGTATTTGGTGCAATCACAGCCCATCTTGTTCCTTTCTCAGATAAATGTTGTTTTTAAGCCATTTCCTAATGGAATATGTTCAGGACACAACAGGAAAGAAGGCAGAGCCTTCCCTTTGGGACTTGCTGACTTGTAGTCCTCCGGTGTGAGGTGTGCTTCTGGAGACTTGGAAACCAGTCTGGTACCCAGAGTCACATATCAGAGGAAGGCGGTTCACAGAACTCAGTATAGCAAAAGTGGCCGCATTATTTTTAAAACGCTGTTTATTTGCAGACTCTTTTCTTCCCCAGCCAGCTGGGGAACCAGCTGTGCTGCAGCTTGAAGATGGGAAAGTGAAACCAGTTTAGAAGCTGACCAGTCCCCGGGGGCTTGGTTATAGGTGCAGGGGCTGAATTGCCACCCTAATGCCATTATTTCTTGGGTGGCTGCTTTCCTTTGCAGAGTGCAATTTGTGGGACAGAAGTCACATCTCGTCTTTGAGATCCTCTTTGTCCTCATCCCTGGCCCCTCAGTGTTTGGTACTATGTCTAGCTTAGACACTCTTTTGAGTGGATGAAGTCAAGTTCATAAAAGGCACTCCCGGATCCATGTTGAAATGATCTCAACTTTCTGATCCGTGACACCAAGTTTTGTGCGGGAAAGCTGAGTCTGATGATAGCCTTTACCTGTCACCATGGGAACCCATTTTTCTTTTTTTCTTCTCCCTGCTCCAAAGGAGCCCTTATCAGTTAGAGTACTTGGCCACAATCTGCTTAATCACTGTGATGATTAATGGGATCTGAGAGGTAGGGAAGAAAGGTCTTGCTGGAGAAGATGCTCTCTGGGGTTGGGGTAGGGGGTGGGGAGGAGGGAGGCTACCACACCCCCTCCCAAATTTAAATGCAAATAAAAGTATTAATTTGATCAGCAAATGTTTTGGGATCTCTCGAGTCTGATTAACAGTCTAACTGACTAACTTCCTCTTAGCTACTAATCAAGGCATTTGTAGCCTTCTTACCATCCTTTATTACCAGGGCTTTTAAATTTAATTCTCTAGTAACAGCTTATTTTTAAAATGAAGCTGCTCTTATGTTTTTGTATAAGGAACATATTTTTTATGGCTCAAAATTCAGCAAGTACATCAGAATACAGAGTGCAAGTTTTCCCCTTCCTTGTCCTGCATGCCCTCAGCTACCCTGCTCCAAAGCAATTGTAAAAATAGTTTAGTTTTGAAATGTGTCTTTCCCTAAAAAGAATTTTTTCATAGTGTTGAATTCTTCTCTCTTTCTTTTTTCTTTCTTTTTCTTTTCTTTTTTTTTTTTTTTAGTAGATAGAGAGTGTTAACTTTGTCATTAAGACAATTTTACAAACTGGTGGTGGTGGCGGCGGCGGCCCACACCTTTAATCCCAGCACTCAGGAGGCAGAGGCAGGTGGATCTCTGTGAGTTTGAGGACAGCCTGGGCTACAGAGTGAGTTCCAGGAAAAGCTCCAAAGCTACACAGAGAAACCCTGTCTCAAACAAACAAACAAACAAACAAAAAACCAAAAAAGACCATTTTATGGTAAATTCTTCCCAGGTTACAACCCAAGATCTTAACTATCTGGATTCTGCTGCTTTTCTGAGTCCTTTTCTTTCTTTCCTTCTCTCTCTCTCTCTTTCTTTCTTTCTCTTTTTTTTGTGTGTTTTTTGTTTTTCGAGACAGGGTTTCTCTGTGTAGTTTTGGTACCTGTCCTGGATCTCACTCTGTAGAGCAGGCTGGCCTTGAACTCACAGAGATCCGCCTGGCTCTGCCTCCCGAGTGCTGGGATGAAAGGTGTGTGCCACCTCCACCTGGCCTGAATAACTTTTCTATGTCAAGTTATCTAGTCAAAGATCTTTCTTTTCCACTTTACCCACACCTTACCTCACAAATATATCTTATACCTAGGATAAGAAACTAAAATCTCGCTGGGCATTGGGGGTGCACACCTTTAATCCCAGCACTCGGGAGATCTCTGTGAGTTCGAGGCCAGCCTGGACTACAGAGTGAGTTCCAGGA